AGAGTTGTCAACACTGCACTAACGGAAATCGGGTGACAGAGGAAGGCTAGGCGAAAGTGAAATGAATAGTGTTGTTCCACATTCTCAAGCCAAGTGCACTCCCAGCTCGTGCCAGATGTCCACAATCTTCTCCCCACCCTTTAAGAGCCAGGACATTGCTTATCCTAAGGCAAAAAGGAGAGTGGGGTGTTGATACAGGGGGAGGCATGGGGTCTTCACAGCAGAATTCCATTACCTGCAGCAGGACCCGGCGCACATCAGCATCACTGTGATCTGCATTTAGCTGGCCCAGCAACAGCTCCGCGGAGAGCCTCTGGCCCACGAAGTTGGTGACCCGGTTGCCATCGTAGCCATTGAAGACCCCATAGAGATAGTAGTTGTTCTCACTCCTGCCAGAGAGGGTCAGGGTGGAGGGGTTAAGCGCGGGTGTGAGGTATGACAGGGACGGATAGCAGCACCACTGTGAGCCTCTCCTAACAAGCCTTGTACACTCTAATTCTGCCCCATTTCTGACCCCTACTGTAAAAAGCCACACACCACTTCTGTCCTGCCTCTCCATCTGTGAGCTTCTATCTCCACCTGCAGCCCCCTTACCTGAGTTTCAGCCAGTTATCCTCCCATGGGTGGCCTTCTGTCCCCTTACCATCTGCACTGTAGGAACGATTTGGAGCTGAGCCCACCCCAGACAGCTGGCAGAGGGGCAAGTCATCTGTCCAGCTTGGCTGCTGCTCCTGGGGAACAAAAACAGGAAAGATCCCATGTAGAATCCCAACTGGTTCAGAACTAGGGACACTGGGTTCTGCACAGGATGGAGCACCATCCTCCTACTTCATCACAGTCCTGAACGCAGCTACCCAGCCAGTGACCTCTTATTCCTTGCTGCCCCAGCGAAATTACTTAACACCACTCTCCCACTCTGAAGCTGAGAAGCCTGCAGCACTAGCTGCACCTCCAGCCCTCGCTAACAAGGAAACAGGACTGGAATGCACATCAGAATCTCGCACTCAAAAGAGCAGAGCATTAACTGCCCCAGATGAAGCCTGGTGTAATCTTTCATGCTTCTAGGGCAGGAGTACAGGTGAACTTGGGGAACAGACTGATCAGGTTTTGTGCTGCACACATCCAACCGCAGCCAGCAAAGGAACATGAAACAATCTACTGTTGTGAAGGTAAACAGTGAGGAACTCTTGGGGGCATAATTACTCCACCCTGCCCACAGACAACTTTTCCCCCAGAAAACATTTCCTCCAGAAAGCTGCACAGTCACTTCCCAAACCATCCCTTCAAAACACAGCGCACACCTCCCCACCCAAATCAGCTTTCCCATATACATGCCTCCTATAGACATCTGCTTCCCTGAACAGAAAGACACTGCTTCTAGGTGAGCACACACCACACATCCCTGAGCATGCAGGTAACCCCCCCCCCCCCCCCACGCACACACACTCATATGCTGGCAGGGGTCTCACACCCCTCCCTAGAACCCTCACAGTCATCCCGCGGGGAGTATAATCCCCTTCACTCACCCCCTCCCTGTGCCCCTCAGACACCCAACAGCCACCCCCCTCCTCCCCTGTGTTCTCTCCACACCCCCACCCCCAGGCGGGGAGACAGGGTAGCCCCACTCCCTTGCCTGTGCCCCCCATAGACACCCCACCCCTCTGCCTGTGCCCCCCATAGACACCCCACCCCTCTGCCTGTGCCCCCATACACAACCCCTTGCCTGTGCCCCCATAGACACCCCACCCCCCCACCTATGCCTCCCATACACACCCCCTTGCCTGTGCCCCCATAGACACCCCACTCCCCGCCTATGCCCCCATACACACCCCCTTGCCTGTGCTCCAATACACACCCCACCCCCCCACCTATGCCCCCCATAGACACCCCACTCCCCCGCCTGTGCCCCCCATAGACACCCCCTGCCTGTGCCCCCCATAGACACTCCTACCCCACAGCCCCGCGTGTGCCCCCAGCAGGGGAGTCACCTCCTCCCCACACAGCGCCGGGCCATTGCGGGGGGGAGCTCTCACTCACACTCTGCAGCAGGCTCCTCCTTTGCGCCGCCATCTTGCAGCAGCCGCAGAGACACGCCGGTCCCAGCCCCGCAGAGGGCGGAGGCGCCGAGAGCGGCGTCCTGGCCGGGCCAGGCCAGGCCGGGCCGGCGGGTTTGGGGAGCGCGCAGCGCCGCCTGGCGGGCAGCGGGAGCGCCGCAGGGGGCGGCGGGGGCGGCTGCCTGGTGCTGGTGGCCCGCCCGCCCGCAGCCTGGGGGGGGGTTATTCCCTGAGCCTGCGGGCCCCGGGGGACTCACCCGCCTGGGCTGCCCCACCGTGCGCAGAGCGGCACCCCCGGAGCAGGATGTGGATTAGGGTTGCCCACTTTCTCGTGGCACAAAACTGAACCCTCTAGCCCCCCCCCCCCGCCCAGCAGGGAGTTGGGCTGCGGGAGGGGGTGAGGACGAGGGGCTAGAAATGAGGGGTTCAGGGTATGGGAGGGGGAGGGGAGGAGGAGGAGGAGGAGGGGGGGGGCCTGGGGTGGGGCAGGGAGTTGGGGTACGGGGGGGACTCCAGCTGGGGGTGCGGGCTCTGGGGTGGGGCTGAGGATGAGGGGTTTGGGGTGCAGGAGGGGGCTCCAGGCTGAGGGAGTGGAGCTGAGGGATTTGGAATGCGGGAGGGGGTTGTATGTTGAGGCAGGGTGTTGGGTTGCAGGAGGGGTTATGGGCTTGGGGTGCAGGCTCTGGGCTGGGGCCAAGGGATGAGGGGTTTAGGGTGCAGGAGGGGGCTCTGGGTTTGCGGGGGCTCAGGGCTGCAGCAGGGGGTTGGGGCTTGGGGTTGGGGTGCGGGCTTACCTCTGGCAGCTCCCAATCAGAAGTGCAGCGGGGGGCTAAGACAGGCTTCCTGCCTGTTCTGACTCCGCGCTGCGCCCGAGAAGCGGCCAGCAGGTCCGGCTCCTAGGCGGGAGGGGGGCAGATGGTTCTGTGCGCTACTCTCACCCACAAACACTGCCCCGCAGCTCCCACTGGCCGTGGCTCCCCGTTTCCGGACAATGGGAGTGCAGAGTCGGTGCTTGGGGTGGGGGCAGCATGTGGAGCCCCGTTCCCCCCCACACACACACACCTAGGAGCCAGACCTGCTGGCCACTTCCAGGGCGCAGCGGGGAGCCAGAAGAGGCAGGAACTAGCCTGCTTAGCTCTGCAGCACTGCTGACTGGACTTTTAACGGCCCAGTTGGTGGTGCTGACCAGAGCCGCCAGAGTCCCTTTTTGACCGGGCATTCTGGTCAAAAACCGGACACTTAGCAACCCTATGTGGCACGTGGCTTGGGCCCTGTGGCGTGGAGTCTGCCCGGCTGCCCTGGGGATCAGCTCCTTGCCCTCTGGGCTCTTAGCAGGGCCCCAGCCTCTGACCCAGCCCCCACCTTTCTCCAATGGGTCTGGACTTTCCCTGTCTGCCACACACCATCTCCGTGCCCTCTCCCTCTCCCCTCAGCACCCACCCAGCGCCTCTTCCTCTCCTTCCTCGCACCCTGAACACTCCCCTCGCTGGCCAGACAGGGCTATGTCTGCACTGCAGCCGGAGGGGCAATTCCGAGCCTGGACAGATGCACACATGCTAGCTCTCTTTGAGCCAGTGTCTAAAAACAGTGGTGTGGCCATGCTGGCACAGGTGGCGGCAGCTTTTAGGGCCTTACTACAATCCTGCTTGACTCCCTGGGCACGTACTGTGGGGTCTAACCTGAGCCACCGCCTGTGCTGAGGCTGAAATACTGGTTTTGGTGCTAGCTCAAGCTGAGCTAGTATGTACCCATCTATCCATGCTAGAAACACCCTCCCACCCATACCTACAGCGTGATTGCTCATACTTCCCTCTTCATGCGTCAATCGCACAGGGCTGGATAAGGCACAGGCCTCTAGCTCCTGGAGTCATGTGATTACACCAGAACCTCTGCTTTCATTTTCACTTAGCCCTCATGGTTCAGAAGAAAAGCTTGAAAATGTGACCTGAAAATCTGCCTGAACCTGAAACAATAGATTGGAGAGGTGTGATCTGCCCCAGGCATCTCAATGGATAAGCCCCACTGCTCTGGGGGCCCCTACAAACACCCCCCAACAGCGGTCTCTGTGTGCCAGCCAGGAAAAGAGTACAGCAGTCCCACCCCCAGAAGCAGATACTCCTGTCCTGAGGGGAAGTACTGAAGGGCCTCAGTACTGCCATTCTGCCTCTTCTCCTGGGAAAAGAGGGCCCTTTGCTTTTACTCTTCCAAGGGGAGAAAGGGACCTTGAGGGGAGGGGAGGGTGTCCCTCTGCTACCATCATTCTAAGTGGGGGGAAGGACCAGGGGGCAGAACCACGGTGGGCCTATGTCATGGTGTGCTTAGGGTGCCTGAAATTGCCTTAATCTGACCCTGCTCTCCAAAGCTCTTCTCCTCAGCCCCAGATCACAGCTGGTGCATCTAACAGGTCTTCAAGGAGGATCAGTTCTGATTAAGTTCAAAACCTTAGGTGTCATCTCTCAGCTGTGTTCTTAGCCCCTTTATGCTGCTGGAGTAGCCAGATCTCCTTCATTTAGAAAGCCCCTGGTGTAGAGGCAGCATGCTTCTGTTGTCCTCCTTTGCAGCACCCAGCATAGGGACATGTTGGGGCTGAGCCCTGGGGCAGTAGAGGGCATGTCAGCAGCAGAAAGGGTGTGTGGAATGTCTGAACGCGTAGGTGGCTGTGAGTATCCACCGTAAATTAGAGCAGCCCCTGGGGTGGCTCTAATTTACACCAGAAGCTCAGCTGGCTCCTGGACGAATTCAGGCACCACAAAACTACCTTTGCACAACCTCTTCCCCTACGACTGGGCTGTGCTTCCTGCGAGGCACAGCTCAGAATCTGGGCCACAGTTGCTGAAGTCAGTGGAGTTACTCAGCAGTCTCTTATAACTGAGATCTTAATCTGGCCCTTGGTCAAGGCTAATCCTACCAAAGGAACCCAGTGAATGAATTTAGAGCAAGACAGCATAGTTTTTAAAAATTTTATATAATGATATACATGCACATGTACAGATAATTGGTTTTGGTCTTTTTCAAGAATGTGCCTGCACCTTTCTAGGTGAGGGCAGCCTGGTTCAGGGATGCTGGGTTTTGTATAACATCTTTACGGGAACAGGAGGGGAGATGTAAGAATAATCCCATCGCTTAAATGAGGATTCAGATGAAGAGACCTCCACTTGTGTGACTGACACATTTTTGATATGAGTGATGGATGCACTGAAGGTTTCTCGGAACAGCAAACATTTCTCTGTGTGAATCAGTACCCAAGTGATCAGATGTGAAATTCTGCTCTTGTGTGGCAATGTCATGCTGGCCAGGGTGGGAGTTATCAAGGCTGGACACTCCAGCAGTCCCATAGTAGTCTTTTGTTTTGTAGAAAATATATGAGGTTCAGACACACAAAATTCTACTTTCAAAATAAACACCAGTGAATTAACTCAATGATTTTGAACTATGTCTATGAAATGTTGGGGGCCTGGCCAGCAGAGTCCAATCCCTCTTTGTCCACTCTTGTCTTGTGCCTGATCACATCTGTTTCTTCCAAATATGTGGAGAGTTCCAATCCTTTTCCTTCAGACATGGTACACGATCCGTTGGCTGGAGGTTGAACCTAAACAAATTCAGACTGGAAATAAGGTGTACATTTTTAACAGAGAGGATAATTAGCCATTGGAACAATTTACCCAGAGCTGTGGTGGAGTCTCCATCACCGGCAATTTTAAAATTAAGATTGGATGGTTTTCTAAAAGATCAGCTCCCATTCAAACAGGAATTAATTCAAGGAAGTCCTATCACCTATGTTATATGGGAGGTCAGACTGCAAGATCACAGTGGTCCCTTCTATCTTTATAATCTATGAAGGACACAAGAATGTTCAATAATCCAAATGGAAATAGATACCGTGTTAGAATGATTTCTTAGAAAAAAGGTTAATATTGGCCAGGTAAGAGAATATACTAAATTGAAGGTCCCAGTCCTGCAAACAGGTACACAGAGGCTTAGCTTTATGCACAAGCGTAGTCCCACTGACGATGGTAAGCCCATGTGTAAAGATAAGCACATTTGTATGCGTTTTCAGGATCAGGGCTTGCATGTGCACACACATCAAATGGGGAAAATTATTTTAAAATAACATTTCTCTGGAACTTCAAAATCTCATGTAGAGCAGAATGTTTCTATTTGGTTTATATTTTAAAAAGATGATGGGAGCTATCTATTTTAAAACACAACTGCATTGCAGCTATCACCTTTTCTGGATTGCAGCAGAAGCAGATGCTGATTTGATGATGCCTAGGGTCACAGTCCTATAACATGATGAGCATGGGTAGATTCCTGTGCCTGCAGAGAGCTCCACTGAAATCACTGAGGCTGTGTATGGGCCCAGGGATCTGTCCATATGCATCACATTGCAGGATTGGGGAATTAGGATTGCATTCTGCTTTATAACATGTACATGCAGCTCCCACTCAGGTTAACGGAATTGTGTGTATATGTTACAGCAGAATTTAATCCAGAGAGAGAAAGCACTGTCTAGAGGTTAAAGCAGACCTGCTTTAGTCCTAGAGTAAGTGATGAAGTGAGCTGTAGCTTCACATCGGATGAAGTGAGCTGTAGCTCACGAAAGCTTATGCTCAAATAAATTGGTTAGTCTCTAAGGTGCCACAAGTACTCCTTTTCTTTTTGCGAATACAGACTAACACGGCTGTTACTCTGAAACCAATCATCTAATAGTTACAGCCTTGCCAATCTGTAGTGACAAGCAACATGGCTGCTACTCTGAAACCTATCTTTTTTTTGGAGTGTGGGGGGGGTGTTCTTCCTTGCTTGCAGATCATAGAATCATAGAATCATAGAATATAAGGGTTGGAAGGGACCCCAGAAGGTCATCTAGTCCAACCCCCTGCTCAAAGCAGGACCAATTCCCAGTTAAATCATCCCAGCCAGGGCTTTGTCAAGCCTGACCTTAAAAACCTCTAAGGAAGGAGATTCTACCACCTCCCTAGGTAACGCATTCCAGTGTTTCACTACCCTCTTAGTGAAAAAGTTTTTCCTAATATCCAATCTAAACCTCCCCCACTGTAACTTGAGACCATTACTCCTCGTTCTGTCATCTGATACCATTGAGAACAGTCTAGAGCCATCCTCTTTGGAACCCCCTTTCAGGTAGTTGAAAACAGCTATCAAATCCCCCTCATTCTTCTCTTCTGCAGGCTAAACAATCCCAGCTCCCTCAGCCTCTCCTCATAACTCATATGTTCCAGACCCCTAATCATTTTTGTTGCCCTTCGCTGGACTCTCTCCAATTTATCCACATCCTTCTTGAAGTGTGGGGCCCAAAACTGGACACAGTACTCCAGATGAGGCCTCACCAATGTCGAATAGAGGGGAACGATCACGTCCCTCGATCTGCTCGCTATGCCCCTACTTATACATCCCAAAATGCCATTGGCCTTCTTGGCAACAAGGGCACACTGCTGACTCATATCCAGCTTCTCGTCCACTGTCACCCCTAGGTCCTTTTCCGCAGAACTGCTGCCTAGACATTCGGTCCCTAGTCTGTAGCTGTGCATTGGGTTCTTCCGTCCTAAGTGCAGGACCCTGCACTTATCCTTATTGAACCTCATCAGATTTCTTTTGGCCCAATCCTCCAATTTGTCTAGGTCCTTCTGTATCCTATCCCTCCCCTCCAGCGTATCTACCACTCCTCCCAGTTTAGTATCATCCGCAAATTTGCTGAGAGTGCAATCCACACCATCCTCCAGATCATTTATGAAGATATTGAACAAAACCGGCCCCAGGACCGACCCTTGGGGCACACCACTTGATACCGGCTGCCAACTAGACATGGAGCCATTGATCACTACCCGTTGAGCCCGACAATCTAGCCAGCTTTCTACCCACCTTGTAGTGCATTCATCCAGCCCATACTTCCTTAACTTGCTGACAAGAATACTGTGGGAGACCGTGTCAAAAGCTTTGCTAAAGTCAAGAAACAATACATCCACTGCTTTCCCTTCATCCACAGAACCAGTAATCTCATCATAGAAGGCGATTAGATTAGTCAGGCATGACCTTCCCTTGGTGAATCCATGCTGGCTGTTCCTGATCACTTTCCTCTCATGTAAGTGCTTCAGGATTGATTCTTTGAGGACCTGCTCCATGATTTTTCCAGGGACTGAAGTGAGGCTGACTGGCCTGTAGTTCCCAGGATCCTCCTTCTTCCCTTTTTTAAAGATTGGCACTACATTAGCCTTTTTCCAGTCATCCGGGACTTCCCCGGTTCGCCACGAGTTTTCAAAGATAATGGCCAATGGCTCTGCAATCACAGCCGCCAGTTCATCGAGGCTGAGGTTGGAGGAGAGAGCTACAGTTTTTTGGGAAGGCTGCAGGTTGGGTGGTGGAAGAGAAATGCTAGTCCAGCATAGCTGGGCCTGCTGCACTCATGCTAATCTTGGTCTTAACGCTGCAGAGCCATTCACAACCTGCGCATTGAAGAGGCAGGACCTAAAGCTATAACAGAGTCTCTCCCCTCATCTCTCCCTTTCCCATCTTCAGCCTTCTTCCCGCAGGCTCAGCTGCCACACCTATGCCGCCCCCTCCTGTCACTGACCAGCCACTGTAATAGTGGCTGCAGCACTACGTGTCTGGTCTATGAAGTGATTAATGAAGATGCTGCTGTGTAGTGCCCTGGGCACTATACAGGAGTCAGCAGCTGGGCCTACAGGCATCCCCCCCCTTTCCATGCAGCCTGGAAAAGGAGGGAAATGGAGAGGGAAGAGACAGACGTGTGAGAGAGAACTGGAGAGAGAAAAGATGACCCCTCCCTTTCCCGAACACACCCCAGGGGTTTAAAAAGGCAAAATGGAATAGCTTCCCCCGGAAGAAAGGCAGGGGTGGGCACAGAGCTGCCTCCACTCCATGTCTGTGTGTGCCCAAGAGAGACCAAAACAACAAAGATGATGATCCCATGAGGGTTCAGCCAATCTGGATTTTTTGAGTGGGTGGGTTTCGGTGTTGCCAGCAACTGTGATTTTATTGAGAGGCTCATGATATTTATTTATAATTATTTCACAGTCTCATGATATCTTAAAGCCCCAGCTCCTGGAGTCCTTGTGATCTCATGAAAATTTCAGCTTTCATTTTAAAATACAAGGCAGTTTCTAGCCTTCAGGGCCGCAGAGCAAAGCTTAAAAACATGGCCCCTAAAGGTTCAAAAAACAGAAGGAAATTAAAAGATGCCAAAATGTCTAATTATTTGAAATCTCATGATTTTTAAGATAAGCTCATGGGTTTGGGGGAAGGGAGTAATTTTTTTGGAATACTTGGGGTCGGCAGTGCTGCAATGGCTCATGAGTTATTGGTTGACACTGAGTTTTTAATGGGCTCCGAAGGACATTTTTGCAACCTACTAACATCTCAAAAGCTAGGAGAGTAGAAAGAAGCCTTTCATCAAATGCAGCCTCCCACTTCAATGGGTGCACTGTACTAAACTCTTTTTGGACATGATTTTGAGTTGTAATCCAGGGGGACACAGATGACCCACAGCAGCACCCTAATCCTGGCCCAGCACCGCAACCCTAATCCTGGCCTGGTGTGGAGGTGAGGTGTTGGGGAGGGGAACTGGAGAGCAAGCCCACCCCACACACACTCCACAGTGGTGGCTCCTGTCCCTGGGGCTAGGCCCAGCTCCCCAATCTGGATGTGGCAATCTGGTGCACAGGGTCACAGCACTACTCAAGTTTGGCCCAGCCACCCCTCTGTCATGACAAAGGGCATCTGGGTCAAATTTGAATGAGTGGCATTGCAACCTGGCTCACGGGTCACAGCACCACTCAGGTTTGGCAGCCTTGGTTTCAGGAGTTCTGTGGGTACAATTGAACCCAGGCTAAAGCCCCAAACAAAAATGGATCAGAAGATGGCTCTGCCTTTCCTGGCTACTCAATATTGCCCTCACTAGAAGGAGGGTGTTGCAGGGGGAAGGAGGATGTCTCAGGGGATTGGGGAAAAAATGGTTACTTACTTTCTCGTAACTGTTGTTCTTCGAGATGTGTTGTTCATGTCCATTCCACATTAGGTGTGCGTGTGCCGCATGCATGAGCGTTGGAAACTTTTCCCCTTAGCTAAGGCCACACCTGTCGGGGTTCACACCAACATGAGAACCTTTTCCACTTGGCCATATAGGCCGCCCTGATAGAGGGCTTTCTACTGCCAAGCAGAATCTGCTGCACGGGAAGGGAGCACTGGATCTCCAGGGCATTTAGCCACAGAGCCTCCCTGCTGTCAGGTGCAGTGACTGCAGGTCGGGGTGGAGAAGCCGCCCGTCGTCCTGTGTAATGAAGTCCTGGTGTAGGGGCAGGACTACTGGGGCGTCCACCGACAGCTCTGGGAACGATGTGTACCAGTGCTGGCGGGCCCAGGCAGGGCCGGTGCAAAGTTGTTTCGCGCCTTAGGCGAAACTTCCACCTTGCGCCCGCCCCCCCCACCCCGGGAGCCCTGCAGCAGCTCCCCCCCTTTCCCCCCGCCCTGAGGCGCTCGCCCTGCGGCAGCTCCCCTCAGCCCGGGGAGCCGTGTGCGGCAGCTCCCCACCCCAACTCACCTCTGCTCCGCCTCCTCTCAGAGCACGCCACCGCCGCCGCTTCTCCCGCCTCCCAGGCTTACGGTGCCAATCAGCTGTTTGGCGCGCAAGCCTGGGAGGGAGAGAAGCAGAGCGCAGCGGCGTGCTCAGGGGAGGAGGCGGAGCAGAGGTTAGCTGGGGCGGGGACCGGTTCCCCTGCGTCCCCCCCAGTTACTTGCTGCAGGCGGCCCTCCCCGCGCCCCAGCTCATCTCCGCTCCACCGCCTCCCCAGAGCGAGCTTTTGGCCGCCCCCAACCACTTGGCACCCTAGGCGATCGCCTAGTTCACCTAGTGGTTGCACCGGCCCTGGGCCCAGGCTGGGTTGATGAGGATCACCGCCACCCTGTCCCTGTGCACCTTGAGCAGGACCTTGTGCATGTGGTACGACCTGCTGAGGGAGTCCGCCAGCTCATTCCGCACCCTCGGGAGATAGAACGCCTCGAGGTGAATCGCATGGGCTATGCAAAGGTCCCAGAGGAGGAGAGCCTTGCTACAGAGTGGCGAGGAACGAGCCCCGCCCTGCTTGTTTATATAAAACATGGCAGTAGCGTTGTCTGTCAGAACTGTCACGCTGTGACCACCCAGAGTGGTGTGAAAGGTCTGGCAGGCGAGACGAACCGCTCTGAGCTCCTTCACGTTGATATGGAGCGACCGCTCTGCCTCGGACCACAACCCCTGCGACATGAGGTCCCCCAGGTGAGCTCCCCATCCATGGTCTGACGCGTCCGTCAGCAGCGTCAGGTCCGGAAGTGGGGGAAGGCCACGGTACCAGCGCTGACATGGGCGGTCCCGGCGGCACAAGCCCCACCAAGCCCAGAGCTAAGGGAGCTCAGTGTGAACGATGGGCTCAAGGGCATAACGGATCAGCCCTCTATGCCTGGCACCTTTGAGGCTGCAAAGGACCTCATCGAGCTATCGGCGGCGAGCCCCCTCCCATATGGGGAGAACCCTCCGGCACCCATGCCTCAGGCGCCATCGAGGGGTAAGCCAGCAATGGTGTGCCGCTCGAAAACACCGTCCCGGCACCGCTCCCGGAGTTGGTCCCGGTTGAGCTCCGACTCCGCAGACTCACATTTGCCAGTGGCCCAGAAGGAGGTTGTGGCACCGGCAGCGGGTCGACGTGAAGAAGGACCAGGAAGGGCACACCGCTCTCCGGCACCGCCCAGAGACTGGCACTAAGCCAGGCTTTTGAAGGTGCTTGAGGACAGCGTACCAGACCAGTCACCGGATCCGTCCCTTTGTTTCCTGAACCGCCTGTCCCATTTCTCCCATGTGTGGTCCACCATTATGTTGGACCGTTGGGTCTTACACATGGTGCGAAACGGGTACTCGCTGCAGTTCGTCTCCCCCCCCCCCCAGCCCCCTTCCCCGTCCCTCTTCAGGGACCCCTCTCACGAGCATCTCCTAGAGGAGGAAGTCCGCTCGCTGCTACGGGTGGGGGCAGTAGAGGCGGTGCCTCACGGCCTAAGGGGAAAAGAGTTCTATTCCCGATACTTTCTCATCCCCAAGGCCAAAGGGGGCCTTCGCCCAATCCTAGACCTAAGCAGGCTCAACAAATTCCTGGTCAAGGCCCTGCTCTTGTCGGTGCTCGGTGCCTTGGGAGGCACCAGCCTCCTGTGCAGGGAACGACCACGCTTTCCTTTAGGCTGTGCCGGGGGCCGCACTGGGGAGGACGATCGGTGCTGGGGCCTAGCCTGGCGCTCTGGGGCCAACAGTTTACGGTGCTTCACCAGTGCCGGGTCTCCTGACGGCTCCAGGGCACTACGCACCGAGGAAGCCTGAGCCGGCGTCGGGCGCTTCGGGCCCGGCAGCTGCAATGCGGCCTCCATCAACAGTTGCTTTAGGCTAAAGTCTCTTTCTTTCCTTATCCTTGGCTTGAACGCCTTGCATATCCTACACCTTTCAGTTTGATGTCCATCCCCCAGGCAATGTAGACACGAGTCGTGGGGGTCACTAACTGGCATAGGTTTGCGGCACGTGGCGCAAGCCTTGAAGCCGTGGGCCTGCGGCATGCAGGGCTGGTGCTTGAGGCCTCCAAGCACCTAATCGCTTAAGTGTTCACAGTCTGAATGTAAACGAACTGATAACAGGTTTCAGAGGAACAGCCGTGTTAGTCTCTACTCTAAAGGCTAAAAGAAAAGGAGTACTTGTGGCACCTTAGAGACTAACCAATTTATTTGAGCATAAGCTTTCGTGAGCTACAGCTCACTTCATCGGATGCATTCAGTGGAAAATACAGTGGGGAGATTTATATACATAGAGAACATGAAACAATGGGTGTTACAATACACACTGTAACGAGAGTGATCAGGTAAGGTGAGCTATTACCAGCAGGAGAGCGGGGGGGGGGGGAGAGACCTTTTGTAGTGATAATCAAGGTGGGCCATTTCCAGCAGTTGACAAGAATGTCTGAGGAACAGTGGG